GGCACCTGTGGTCCCAGCTACTTGGGAGGCTGAGGCAAGAGAATTGTGTAAGCCCAAGAGTTTGAGGCTGCTGTGAGCTGTGATGCCACAGTATTCCACCCAGGGCAACAGAGTGAGACTCTGTTTCAAAAAAAAAAAAGAAAGAAAGAAATTGCACTGTTAAGCAAAAGAAGTGAGGCATGCTATCATTTATATAAAAAAGAAAAGGAAAAAAAGCACATCTAGAAGAAAAAACAGAAACAAATACAGTGATTTTATGAGATGGGGAAAGACGCAGGAACCCAGCAGAAGGGGCTCAGGGTGGGGAGAGGTGCTGTGTATGTGTTTGTACTTCTTAATACTTTTAACCATGTAAAGATGATAAAAAAGTGAAATACAACCCAGAACTGCAAAACAACAAATTTTCTTTTCTTTTTTCCTCTGTCAATCTTTTTAAAAGTTATGGAAAGTGAAATTCTAATTTCCAAGCTCATACTTGTCTAGTTTTTCTTCAGCATGGATTTTCAGGGCCTGATATCGCTGCTCCTCTTGTTTGACTCTGGCTAAGTAATCCTGAGCACATTTTTTCAAGGCTTCTTCATTCTGTTCCAAAATGAAAATTTAAAATAAAGTCATTGTATTTCTGCTACTAGCAATCTACCATGCATCAGAATTTTCATTTCTTTAAAAACTAGGTGAATCAAATTACTTTAGATGCCTATGATTTACACTTTGTGGTAATCTGAAATAAGCAGGTGTGAGCCTCACTGTAGAAGTTTCACACAACTCCACATATTAATTTTCAATTATCATACAGTAAGGTTCAGTTGTACCAAAATACCTAATTTTAGGAAAGAAATTATTCAAAAGTAATTGACATTCCGACTCCCATATTAAATAAACTGGCCAGTCTCAATTTTAATATAAAGAAATTTCACTGTTATAATATTTCATATTGATAGTATAAAACTAAATCTATATGCTTATTTGTATCTAAGTTTCAAATATGACACTTAATTTTTTCTAGAATATGTAGCTTGAATTTTTCAGTTCTGCTGAAAATATTAAAAAGGTGAATTATCAAAGACATTTCTAGAATTCTCCTGGGTGCTGAGGGTTCTAGCTCTTGCTTTCCATACCACCCTCTGGGGTTCACTGCCTCGACCCACTAGAGGATAGACCAAGACGCACCATCCCATGGGCCACACACCTGAGAGTGGGGAAACCCAGCTCCAAAAACACAAGGCCAGGAGGCCGTGAGCCCCGACCTAAAGGCCACTTATACTCACACCTCTGGCATCAGATCCATCACCAAGGAAACACACCGTTAGCAGGACACAGAAGGAAAGGAACACGCACCTTCTTGAACCCTTCCAGAACACCCTTCAGGTTCTCATATCTCCTGAAGAGATCGGAAAGGGACCTCTCCACAGAGTTAAGGTCGGCTAGGGCCTGTTCCTTCTCCATGGTCAGCTGCTGGAAGCTCTTCTGAGAGGTCATATTTGTCCTCTGTTCATCTTCTGGGGATCACAAGTCAAAAATAATGGCATGTTCATTCAACAAACAGTTAATAGCCACTCTCTGTAAGGCAGGAAGTGTTGAAGTGTGGACACAACCAGGTAACAAAGTTCCCACTCTTGGGGGTGCATGTTCTGGGGGGGAGATGCATGGTGAGAAACACTGAGGAAGACGCAAAGCAGGGAAGAGGGGGTTGCTATTTTATAGAGGGGCCTCTCTCAGAGGAGAAGTTTGAACAGAGACCTGAAAGTACCGAGGGAGGGGCCCATGCATCTGCCTGAGGGGAGAACAGACACAAACAGGGAACAGTGGAGCCCAAAGCCCTGTGCGGGGGGCAATAGGCGATGTGGAGGGTAGAAAACATCGTATCAGGACGTAGGTGCAGAAAGACCAGACTTTGAGTCATTTAGGGAGGCAATCCTTACAGTGTGGACTACAAGAGGCTCTAAACCCACGGCAGGAGGACCAGCACTGCTGATCTGTAAAGGCTTCCCTGGGTCTGACACGTGGAGACTCCCACCTGCCCAAGGGTGAGGACTGTGCACCAAACACAGGACTCCCTGAGCCAGCGGCGGCACTGCACGAGGGCTCGTCACAGAATTCGGGTATCTGCTGTCCTCCCACACAAACCTAACTGCAGCTGGTCCTCACCATTTGTGGAGCCTGTATGTGTGACTTCGCCTACTTGGCTAAAATGTGTAACCCCACGTCAACACGACCCACAGAGTCACGTGTGGACCTGATGTGCACAGTCTCAGTGGAGGTGGGACAAGATGATCAAAAATGGTGACACAAACAAGTGTTCTTTTTGTGGTCTACTTAGTGCCACATTTTTTGCATTTTTGATCTTTTGGTAGGAACCTAACCTACCCACCTAGTTTGTGCCCCCACAGGTAGTGCCAAAGTACTGCCTCGTTTTCCTAAGCACAAGAAGGCAACGCAGTGTCTTAAAATACAGGACATGAGTCTGAAAGCTTTGTCCAGACTGGATTTACAATGTCGGCAATGAGTCAAAAATATGTATTAAATAAAGTATCTCTAACCAGAAACACACACAAGACAAGGTTATGTACTGATCAACTGACAAAAGGGCTGTGACCTAACCTCGTATTTCCTGTAGGAGAAATGGCTCAGTATTCACTTAATTCAGTCACAAAACATACCGTCCGATAATGAGATTTGACTGTATTTAAGTGATAAAACTGAATTTTGTATTGTGATCTTAAAATCATCCATTGATTTTGTTTGGTCTGAATGTGTATGTTCTTCCCCCAAATCTCTACGTTGAAACCTAGTCCCCAAAGTGCTAGAGTCAAGGGGTCTGCTGTCTTTTGTAAGAATCAGTGCCCACATAAAAGGACCCTAAAGACGAGCCCTCACCAGACACCGAATCTGCTGGCACCTTCATCTTAAACTTCACACCCTCTAGAACTGTGAGAAATGAATGTTTATTGTTATAAGCCATGCAGCATTTTGTTATAGCAGCCTTAATAGTCTAACACAGATCCTATGATTCATATCATAAAAAACACATTTTCTCCTTACCAATCATTTGAGCAATAGTTTTTTCATATTCAGCCACAATTTTCCTAAATAAGAACAAAAATAATTTATTATCAGAAGAGAATTTTTAGACAAACGAAGGTACAGGAATGCTGCCCCAAACAATTAAACACATTAACACATGCTGACACACTGACATGATCCAGCTGTTGGCTTGGGAGGTGCTGACGCTCTTTTTTTTAAATATATCATATGAGGTTTATTTTAGTTCAAAAAGGTTTTTCTTAAGATTTTCTGTTTTTGTTTTGAGACACAGTCTCACCATGTCGTCCTCAGTAGAGTGCTGTGGCGTCACAGCTCACAGCAACCTCAAACTCTTGGGCTCAAGCGATTCTCCTGCCTCAGCCTCCCAAGTAGCTGGGACTACAGGAGCCTGCCACAATGCCCGGCTATTTTTTGGCTGCAGTTGTCATTGCTGTCTGTTAGGCCTGGGCCGGATTCGAACCCGCCAGCTCTGGTGTTTGTGGCTGGTGCCCTAGCAGCTGAGCCTTAAGATTTTCTGTTTAACAAGGATTTTACTCTATAGAAACTGCTTCCACTTTCCCTTCGCAGCCATATGAATACTTCAAGGCAATAGTCCGGTTCTAGTTAGACAATTCAATTGTTTTTTTTTTTTTTTTTTTTTGAGACAGAGCCTCAAGCTGTCCCCCTGGGTAGAGTGCCGTGGCATTACAGCTCACAGCAACCTCCAACTCCTGGGCTCAAGCGAGTCTCCTGCCTCCGCCTCCCAAGTAGCTGGGACCACAGGCGCCCGCCACAACGCCCGGCTATTATTTGGTTGCAGCCGTCATTGTTGTTTGGCGGGCCCGGGCTGGGGATTCGAACCCGCCACCTTAGGTGTACGTGGCTGGCGCCTTAGCCGGTTGAGCTATAGGCGCCGAGCCAGACAATTCAATTGTTAACGAATTGAGACATTCTTCTAAGTTCTTCCTAAGATTATCTGATCTGACCTCAGGCTGTCTTGGCCCCAAACTACCCTTTTAGGTACTCTGTCCCCTCTGATTCAGTTATAATTCTTATTTTGTGAACTAATTCCAAAAGTCTTTCACTTATTCAAAGGCTTTCAAGATCACTCTCCTATTAGTCTTTCTTTCTTTTTTTGAGACAAGAGTCTTACTCTGTCACCCTGGGTAGAGTGCCAGGGCATCATCACAGCTCACAGCAACCTCAAACTCATGGGCTTGAGCAATCTTTTTTTTTTTTGTAGAGACAGAGTCTCACTTTATCACCCTCAGTAGAGTGCCATGGCATCACACAGCTCACAGCAACCTCCAACTCCTGGGCCCAGGCAATTCTCTGGCCTCAGCCTCCCAAGTAGCTGGGACTACAGGTGCCTGCCACAAAGCCCGGTTATTTTTTTGTTGTAATTTGGCCGGGGCTGGTTTTGAACTTGCCACCCTCAGTATATGGGGCCAGTGCCCCACCCACTGAGCCACAGGTGCTGCCCACGCTTGAGCAATCTTCTTGCTTCTGCCTCGCAAGTATCTAGGACTACAGGTGCTGCCATTATACCTGGGTAGTTTTTCTATTTTTAGTAGAGATGGGGTCTTGGTCTTGTTCAGGCTGGTCTTGAACTCCTGAGCTCAGGCAATCCACTCACCTCAGCTTCACAGAGTACTAAGATCACAAGAGTGAGCCGCTGTGCCTGGCCTCATATTAACTTTTCCTCTAGGTAAGTACAACAAAGTGCCAGACACTCTTCCTATGACCCCTCAGTGAGACACATCGTTCTCTCCCCTGCCCCTCACTGACAGGGCACACCACTGCTGACCCTGTGTCCAGTCACTTAGGATGGATGGTTGCTAGGAGCTCTCTGAGGGTAGGGATATTCCTTTCTCCCCACCAAAGTCAGCACAGGGAATGTGCACAAGACAAATAATAGAAGAGAGAAAAATTAGAGTCAACATATTTAAAATGTTTCTTTTTTTTTTT